CATTTGCATGAGTTCTTCAGTGCTGCTGCTGCTGTCAGTGGTCACGTTGCACTCGAGTCTTTCAGCGACCACCTTTCCACTGCTTACAAGCCTTTTGCACCAGCTCTATTTGAGTTCGTCTCTGGCGGCAATGTCAAGACTGTCACAGTTGACCAATTGGTTGATAACTCCGCACAGCTGCTGGCTAATCGAGCCGACTGGGCTTCTCTCATTCAGGCGTTCGGAACGCCTCATGCTGTACTACAGTTCGTGGTGGCGTCCATTGATCCGAGCGAGCCGCCTCGGGAGATAAAGCTTGCTGAGGACTCGGAGGCCTTCAGCCATGACTTCCAGACCATGATGCCTGGCATTGGCACAGTGTTTAACGAGTCGCTCCGGTGTGCTCTTGGCATGGAACATGACGGTGGTTCGAGCACGGCTTTGCCGAAGTTTGTCAAGGAGTATCATGTCCTCCTGTTGCGCATCATATACCCAGACCTGATGCCTCCACTGAATATGCTATACTCAAGCTCTGCTCACGGGCGTTCACTGCAACGACTGATGAGCAACTCGGGTGTCTATCCAGGTCCTACAGTGCTCATCATCAAGGACACTGCGGGCCGTGTGTGGGGAGCAGCTACGGGCAATACCTTGGACTGGTCTAAGAACACGATTGTCCCTAGTGGGACTGAGCATGGTGGATACGAGCTTTTCAACAAGATCGCGGTCACGACAACCCTATTCCAATTGGAGCCCGAGGTCCGAGTCATCAGAGGGCGCACGCGGTCCAGTGCGGACAACTATGTCTATGTGAACGCTAAGAACAAGCTGCGAGAGAAGGGCCTCGGATTCGGTGGCAGGAGTGGTGGGGAGGGCGACTGTCGTGTGTGGATTAACGAGGACCTGACCAAGGCCAGTGTGATGAGTTACGATGCCACTTATGATGCTGGACAGATCCTTAGTGCTGTCAGTGATGATGACGATGATGACAGTTTGAGAGAGTCGGACATTAGTGACATTGCAGTCCTGGGTGGAGGCGGCGCTGGTGCGTTGAAGATGCGCGATGAGCAGATGGAGAGGGACAGGCAGGCGAAGGATGACTCTAGGAAGGTTGATCTGAAGCGTTTCATGAAGGTCACTGAGTTCGACAAGGAACAGTTGCTTTCTAATACCTTTGGGGCTACCGCTGACGCCCGAGCCGCCATTCGAGAGCAGCGTGGTGAAAATGACGGCCATTGATTCTTAAAAATTATGATGATAGTTCGCCTGG